GCTCTTCCTCTGGTATACACCTTCTCAGCAGCCCATCTATTCCAATTTTGAACAGCAGTGGATCTTCCTAAACATAATATTTGCTGTCATAGAAGAATTTCTTTCTCTGCTGCTAACTCATCCAATTTGGAACATGATGTGTAGCTTTGAAGTTGGCCATATCAGCAAACCAGGGCTAGGATTCAATCTTGAATAAACTCTCATATGGAAATTCTTCTTTGATTTGTTCCACTTCAAAGGGTATGGCTTCAAGTGGTAATCTTGACAAGTGGTCAGCAACACCATTCTCTTTCCCTTTCTTTTCTTTGATCTCTAGCTCAAATTCTTGGAGAAGCAGAATCCATCTTAATAACCTGGGCTTTGCATCTTGTTTTGAAAACAAGTATTTGAGTGCAGAATGGTCAGTGTATACAATCACTTTGAAACCCGTTAAATATGATCTGAACTTATCAAAGGCATATGCAATAGCTAAAAGCTCTTTTTCTGTTGTTGTGTAATTCACTTGTGCAGGATTTAACACTTTGCTCGAATAGTAAATAACATGCAATTTCCTATCTTTTCTCTGTCCTAAAACAGCACCTGTAACGCCCCAATTTTCGTTAAGTGGCTATTAGCTCTTGAATTTTCATTGTTTGATAATTCCGGCTTGCTAGCGTCGGAATAATTAGATAGATGCTGAATTTTATTTTTTTAGAATATTGATTTAATTCTAAGTTCAGCATTTTAGGGTAATTGCATGCAAAATATTTGGTTCCAATATCGTCTAGGAATTTCCCTGATATTATTCAGCAGTACTGTCTAAAATATCCCTGAGTAATGTGAGATTTTCTAATCATTACAAAGATTCAGTAATGATTTCTTAGCCGTCAAATTTGTTGCATGAAATTTCGCGAGATCTAGTAATCATCATCTCTAAGATTTCCAAATCTAGCATCGGCCACTAGATTTTCATGCAAACAAACCTTGTCCCCCATTTTACAAACATCGTGATTGCCTGAATATTCTGAAATCTACTATCGACCACTAGAATTCCATGCACGAGATTTTGTCTCCCGATTTGCCGGCAAAATCACTTTGGAACATTCTCTTGTCTTCCAAATTTCTGACACCATAATTATTCTAACCAATCACATTCTCTTGAATTTAGCACCACATCGAAAGTCTCGTCCAAGTGACAACCTAGTCATGTCGCATTTTTCCCGGCCAACCAAATTTCATGCATTTGCTGTCCAAATCTTACCTTTGGATTTTTGTGCAAAATTTTTGGGATTTGTGGCATCCAAACCATGTGCATGCAGCCTAGGTTGTTCCATGCATTTTGCTTGCTGAAATTGCACTATCTTTGCTTGCAAGTTTGCCTAAAAATCTACTATTCATGCACAAAAAACTGTCGCACCCTTGATTGCACCAATTGATCCAATTTCATTTCAATTTTCACCCAAAGTGAACCGTGTGCAGTTTTATAATTTGGAAGCCTTGCCAAGTAAGCCAACATGAGGTGCTTAGTGTCATTTAGTCACTCAAAGTTAGACTCCATATAAATAGGCTTGCTAAATAAGATTGAGCCTTTTGGAAGCCAAAAACTGAGAATCTCTCTCTCTTTTCTCTCTACCTTTCTCTTACATTTTTCATCCTCTCAAAGTCTCAAATTTTCTCAAAGTTCTCTTAAGAAAATCGAGAGCTTCCAGCCCCTCAAACACCACCACTTCTTCATCCAAATCACTCAAACACTTTACCTCACCATTACAAACTTCTTCCTCCATCATCCTTTCAATTTTCGTGTGGAAGGAACCAACTTCAGAGGAGAACCTTGAAGAACTTGGCTGCTATTTTCTCGGTCCAGCAAAGCTTTCCTTGGAGATCCATCAATTCCAGTCCCTTCTCCACTTCATTTCACGCCCAAAACTCAAGGCAAGGGGGAGTTCTCACTTTTCACTTTGATTCTTGCTTTCCCTTGGATAAATTGTGAAGAATCCCTAAAAAGTTTCCATTTTTATCTTCAATGATCTTGGATAAAAGGATTGAACCGTTTGCATGTTAAGTTTTTGTCTTGTACTCCATTTTGTCTCTTTGAAATTCTCGGTTTCTTGCCTAGATGTGTTGATTTCCTTCAAAACTTGGAACTTTATAAAGTGCATGTAATTTCTTCCTTAAAAACATTTCGGTTTTGCCTTTGCATGTTTGAAATTCTTGATTCCTATTATGATCCACCTTCAAAGTCATGAACTATGAGTTTGCATGTTTTATTCCTTCTCTTGCATGTTGGATTTTCACTTGAAAATTACTTTACTCGCTTTCAAAGTCTCGGTTTTGATTTTGTGTGAAGAGATTCTTTAGAAAGTTTAAGTTTTTAACCCTTGCATGTGACATCCAACCTTTGTACGAAACTTTGAGCTTGGAAATGTGTTGGAAACCTTTTGTGCAATTTTTGGTTTAGAGGTTTTCTTGCTAAATCCCTTGAATAAACAAAAATCTACCCTTGAGACCTTGGAACCGTGAGTTTGCACGTCTTGAACATTTTGTTACCAAACTCAATTTCATAAAAAAGAACTCCTTTAGTAATTTTGAGAGTTTAAATGCTAAATTGGCCTTGTGTTGTCTCGGTTTACACTCTTTAAACATAGTTCTTTGCTGAAAATAAAAATATTGCACTTGGATGATGGAGCTTTATATTTGCATGATGAGTTTTCCCTATTTTGCTTGTTATGGACTTGACAAATAATGAGATTTTGAAGGCTGGACAATTTTGAATATTACGAGGAAAAAGGTTGAAATTAATTGATTTGGAACCTTGGAATAATTTGAAAAGTTTATTAAGAGTAATGAGAGAAAATGTTATAAAGGAAAAAGTAAAAATGGACTTGGATGGTCTCGGTTTTGACACCAAAAAGTGTTGCAAAAGTCAAAAAAAAAAAATATCTTGTGTGGACCTTGCATTATAAGGAAACTAAGATTGAACTTGAAAGTGTGTTGTCTTGATTTAAATGCCTTGAACCGTGTGGAACTTGGTTAAGTGTGTGATTGAATGATTGATTATAAAATTGGTTCTGATTGACCTTGATGTTTCTTGGTATTGGTACTTGAAATTGATGATGTTTGATTTAATGAGCTGCTGGAAAAAAAAATGGAAGTGATGTGAAATAGTGTACTATTTATGAATTGCATTATTCCTTGAAAAACCGTGAAGAGGTTGAATTGACACTTGGCTAGAAAATTTAAATGACTTACCATTTGTTGTGATTATGCCAAGAAATGGCCATGTTGATAATGCTACATGCATCATTTGCATCTTACTACAAAAGACTTGATGAACTAAGAGATTGTGCAGCGAAAAATAGTTACATAATGATATATTGATGTTGATCTAGTGCCCTTGAGGGCTGAATTATCAAAGAAGGCCTTGTTCCTAAATGGAACCATTGGGAATGTCATGAATTAGACATATAGTGAATGATTGAATAAGGAGAGTGAAGAATCTACATGTAACTTATAAGAAAAAGCGTGAAAAATTGAGAGGATGGAACTTGGAAAATGGTGAAATAAATTGATTAAGTTAGTAGCATAACAAGGACATAAGTTTGATTTGTTTTCCCTAAATGAAAATAAGAAACCGAGAGGTAATGTCTTTAAAAACTCGTGAGTTAAATTGTTTGGTTGATGGTTTAGGAAAGGGATAAGTTCAATAATTTGCCCATTTATGGAGAGAAAAACTGAGAGGAAGAAATGGAGAAAATGAGAGTTTGAATAAAAATAAAGAATTATGGATAATAAGGTGATAGAGATTAATGAGAATAGTGAAATGAATAGGATGAATTTGAATGGTGAAATGACAAGGATTGAGAAATAGGATGGTGCTGAATTTTAAAAGAGAATGAAGTGAGAGAGGGAAATAAATTATGAAGGCTTGAGCGATTCGCCTAAGTTAAGGCCTAAAGATGTAATGAGCTGCACTAAAACTATCCATGAGTGTGAAATTTTAAAACCATGAGACTATGAATTATGATGAAGAATATATATATATATTGCCCTGAGTTCCTGAATTATATTATCTTGAGATTATTATGAACTCCGTGAGATTTATTGTGTAACTCATGGTATCTATTTATCCATGCTAAGGCATATGACTCATCGAGATTATCTATCCATGTTGCTAAGTCTATGATGACTTTTAGCTTGATACTATATGCTATGATGTTAAGTCCGTTGTGACTTCTATTATATCTGTGCAATAGCCGAGTGGCTGGATGATGTGAGTTGAGAAAACAATCACAAGAAAACTGAAAATGCTATTCATGCATCATATATTATCTTGTGAAACAACTTGATAGAGTTAAAGAGGCACAACTGTAGGTATTGGAAGTTCGGTCCAAAGTAGATCTTCTGGGGATGGCCAAAGGGGGAACATCCGACCTAAGTGGCACATGGAAGCTGAGCTCCCTGTAGCCGGGTCGTGACCCGCTTGCAAGACCTTAGCCAAACCTGACGTGAACTCCATAATACTAGGGTCGTAGAGGTCCATTCCTAAACGTGCCGTATGGCACTACACATCAATAATGTGCTATTATTCTATTTTATATCTATTATCATTGTGCAGAGTACGGAATGGAGTCCTCTGATCGCCACATGACTTGAATCTATCTATCTATCTCTATTGTGAATGTCGGGCAAGTCGCCAGTCATAGAGAAATGGGATCCCCATGCATCATTTGCATGCTATTAACACATGAGTGACTATATAGGTGAGATTGAAACCTGGATTCATGCATCATGTGCATTATTATTAGGGATGGTTGAATACTTGTGAGATTTGCTATGATTGTGATTACATTTATCTCCCTATTATATGATTGAACCTTGTATGATGCTGAATGTGGAGTGCTAAATGGATTTGTGATTGTGACGCCGCCTTCCTTGGGGTATGGCTATGATTGATTTTTGTGTTTGGAGAACTCACCCCTGTGTTTGTGTTGTCTCGTATCGCTTTTCTTTTATTTATATAGATGAACAGTAACAAAGTGAAGGTGTACATCCTTCCTTTTGAGGATGACATATGGGTGTTTGACTCTGCGGCCCAGCAGAGCGTCTTCCGCAAATTTGCTCGAGTGATTCATGGAGTCGATAGTGGAGGCTCATGGATTACCCAGTATACTGTCAATACAGCCATCGAGATTGTCTTTTCTATACCTCCTGGTGACACTCAGTTACCTTACCCTGCCTTGTTTGCTTCTCCCACACCCATGTCTGTGGACCCCCGTACACCTACTGCTAGATTGACTCCTGCACCTGCACCATTTCCTTTTATGTCTCCCACTTCCCCACCTGTGCCAATGGAGAGAGATATCCATGTGGTGGAATCCTCCATTAGGTATACCACCATGCCCTCTTACATGCATCATGCTCACCAATCTACTTTGGTTCCACCTACTGGCACTCGTTCACCTCCTCGCACTGCTGGATGGATAGAAGAGGATAGTGGAGATTATGTGGCTGCGACTCCTAGTTTCGCTTCCCCGACATCATTTGAGGAGTCTGACCCCATTGAGGATTATTCGCCTCTTGATTGATGTTATTATTTATGTTTTAGTGGAACTGCTCTTAAGGAGTTTGGTCTATTTCTATTTTACTTATATTGTATTTGAATTGTGTTGACCGTACTGTTTAACTATGAATCTATCGTTTCTGCAAACTTATATTTAATATATTTGAGGTATTTTTTGATGATGAGTTGTGATGATCATATATGAGTATATTATTGAAAGTGAGTTATGGATTGATGAGATGAGAAGATATATGCATGTTAACTCTCTTCTTGAGAGAGAACTATTATTGTAAACTGTATGAAGAAAAAAAAATATTACCAAATTTTGGTGTTTTCTGAATTATCATGTTATAAAGTAGTTATCAATAATGTAGTGAATTGTGTAACGCCCCAATTTTCGTAAATTAGCTAGTAGTCCTTAGATTTTAATTATTAGCTGATTCCGGCTTGCTAGCGTCGGAATAAATTAGATAGATGTGCATTTTTATTTTTAGAATATTGAATTATTTCTGAGTTCGGCATTTTAGGGTAACTGCATGCAAAATATTTAGTTCCAATATCATCCAAGAATTTCCTTGACATTATTCAGCAGTATCGTCTAAAATATCCCTGAGAGATTTATCCGAAAAGTTAAATTCTATCTTATTTAAATAATTGTCAAATCATAAGTATCCGTCTTAAAAAACGTGAGATTTCCTAATTATTACAAAGATTTAGTAATGATTTCTTAGCCGTCAAAATCATTGCATAAAATTCTGTGAGATCTAGCAATCATTACCTAGAGATTTCCAAATCTAGTATCGGCCACTAGATTTTCATGCAAACAAACCTTGTCCCCTATTTTACAAACATCGTGATTGCCCCGATATTCCGAAATCTAGTATTGACCACTAGAATTCCATGCACGGGATTTTGTCTCCCGATTTGCCGGCAAAGTCATTTCGGAACTTTCTTTTCATGTCTCCCAAATTGCCGACATCATGATTATCCTAACCAATCACATTCTCTTGAACTTTGCACCACATCAAAAGTCTCATCCAAGTGACAACTTAGTCATGTCGCATTTTTCTCGGCCAACCGAATTTCATGCATTTGCTGTCCAAAATCTTACCTTTGGATTTTTGTACAAAATTTTGGGATTTGTGATATCCAAACCGTGTGCATGAAGCCTAGGGTATTCCATGCACTTAACTTGCTGAATTTTACTAACTTTGCCTACAAGCTTTCCCAAAATTCACTATTCATACACTAAAAACCGTGACACCTCTTTCCTTGCACCAATTTACCAAATTCACTTCAGCTTTTACTCACTTAAAACCGTGTGTAGTTTTTCAGTTTGGAAGTCTTGCTAAGCAAGCCAAAATGCACATGTTCAGTGGCAATTGGTCACTTGAAGCTTGAAGCTTCCATATAAATAGGTTTGCTAATTGAGATTAAGCCTTTTGGAAGCCAAAAACCGAGAATCTCTCTCTCTTTTCTCTCTACCTTTCTCTCACACTTTCCATTCTCCCAAAGTCTCAAACTCTATCACTTTCTCTCAAGAAAACCGAGAGCTTGCAACCCCTCAAACACCACCACTCCTTCATCAAAATCACTCAAACACCTTACCTCACCATCACTAACTTCCTCCTCCTTCATCCTTTCAATTTTCGTGTGGAAGGAACCCACTTCGGAGGAGAACTTTGAAGAACTTGGCTGCTGTTTTCTCGGTCCAGCAAAGCTTTCCTTGGAGATCCATCTATTCCAGCCCTTCTTCATTTCATTTCATGCCTAAAACTCAAGGCAAGGGGGAGTTCTCATCCTTTGTTCTTTTATTTGCTTTCCTTGGTTGAAAACTTTGTAAAATCTTGTAAAGGTTCCATCTTTATTTCCATTAACCTTGATCAAGCTTATTGCACCATTTGCATGTTGAATTCCTCTTGATTTCTTCACTTTATTTACCTCTAAGTTTGTGGTTTATGTGTAAAGAAGGTGATCTCTCTAAAAGCTTGCATTTTGAACTTTTGCATGTTGTTTATTCCTTGTGTATATCTCGGTTTTTCACTTCTTAGGATGAATTTGTTATTCCGATGATGATCCACCCTCGACATTAAGTAACCGTGAGCTTGGATGACAATATCCTTCATTTGCATGTTGAGTGTTTGCCTTGTACCCTACTTGATCTTTTTGAAATTTTCGGTTTCATGCCTAGATGTGTTGATTTCTCTCAAAGCTTGAAACTTTATTAAGTGTTTACAATTTCTCCCTTGAAAGTATTTCGGTTTTGTCCTTGCATGTTTGAAATCCTTGATTCCTATGATAATCCACCTTCAAAGCCATGATCCATGAGTTTGCATGTTGTATTCCTTCACTTGCTTGTTGGATTTTCACTTGAAAATTACTTAATTCACCTTTAAAGTCTCGGTCTTGGTTTTGTGTGAAAAGATTCTTTAGAAAGTTTGAATTTTTAACCCTTGCATGTGACATCCAACCTTTGTACAAAATTTTGAACTTGAAAATGTGTTGGAAATCTTTTGTACAAGTTTCGGTTTAGAGGTTTTCTTGCTAAATCTCTTGAATAAACAAAAATCTACCCTTGAGACCTTGGAACCGTGAATTTGCATGTTTTGAACATTTTGTCACCAAACCTAATTTCATAAAAAGAACCCCTTTAGCAATTTTGAGGGCTTGAACACTAAATTGCACTTGTGTTGTCTCGGTTCACACTTTTTAAATATAGTCCTTTGCTGAAAATTAAAATACTGCACTTGGATGATGGAACTTGGTGTTTGCATGTTGATTTTCTCTAATTTGCTTGTTAGTGACTTGACAATTGATTGGATTTTGGAGGCTGGACAGTTCTGAAAATTTTGAGGAAAAAGGTTGAAATTAATTGATTTGGAACCTTGGTATAATATGAAAAGTTTGTTAAGAATAATGGGAGAAAAGGTTATGAAAGAAAGAGTGGAAATGGACTTGGATGGTCTCGGTTTTGACATCCAAAAGTGTTGCAAAATTTTAGAAAAATATCTTGTTTGTACCTTACATTTTAATGAAACTAAAACTGAATTTGAAAGTGTGTTGTCTTGATTTGAATGCCTTGAACCGTGTGGGACTTGGTTGAGTGTGTGATTGAATGATTGATTATAAAATTAGTTGTGATTGACCTTGATGTTGCTTGGTATTGGTACTTGAAATTAGTGATGCTTGCTTGAATGAGTTGCTGGAAAAATGTAAGTGATGTGAAATAATGTACTATTCATGAATTGTATTATTCCTTGAAAAACCGTGACGAGGTTGAATTAACGCTTGGCTGGAAAATTTGAATAACTTACTATTTATTATGATTATGCCAAGAAATGTTTATGTTGATAGTGCTACATGCATCATTTACATCTCACTACAAAAGACTTGATGAATTAAGAGATTGTGCAGCGAAAATATAATTATACAATGATATATTGATGTTGATCTAGTGCCCTTGAGGGCTGAATTATCAAAAAGGACCTTGGACCTAAATGAAATTATTGGGGATATTGTGAATTTGACTTATATTGAGTGGTTGAATAAAGAAAGTGAGGAACCACACATATCTTATAAGAAAAAGTGTGAAAGTTTGAGAGGATAGAACTTAGAAAAATGGTGGAATGAATTGATTTGAGTTAGTAGCATAATAAGGACATAAGCTTGAACTGTTTTCCCTAAATAAAAGTAAGAAGACCGAGAGGTAACACCTTTAAATCTAGTGTAAGTTAAATTGTTTGGTTGATGGTTTAGGCAGGGGATAAGTTTAATAAATTGTCCACTTAAGGAGAGAAAAACTGTGAAGGAGAGATGGAGAAAGCAAGAGTTTGAGTTAAAAGAATTACGGATAATCAGGGGATAGAGGTTAACGAGAATAATAAAATGAATAGGATGAATTTGAATGGTGAAATTATAAGGATTAAGAAATGGGATGGTGCTGAATTTTAAAAGAGAATGAAGTGAGAAAGAGAAATGAATTATGAAGGCCTGAATGATTCGCCTAAGTTAAGGTCCAAAGATGTAATATGCTGCACTGAAGTTATCCATGAGTATGAAATTATAAAACCATGAGATTATGAATTTTGATGAGAAATTATATGCTATGTCTTGAGTTCCTGAATTATATTATCATGAGAATTATTATTATGAACTCAGTGAGATTTATTGTGAGACTCATGGTATCTATTTATCCATGCTAAGGCATGTGACTCATGGAGATTATCTATCCATGTTGCTAAGTCTATGATGACTTTTAGCTTGATGCTATATGCTATGATTTTAAGTCCGATGTGACTTCTATTATATCTGTGCAACAGCCCAAATGGCTGGATGATATGAGTTGAGAAAACAATCACAAGAAAACTGAAAATGCTATTCATGCATCATATTTAATCTTGTGAAACGACTTGATGGCATTACAGAGGCACAGCTGTAGGTATTGGAAGTTCGGTCCAAAGTAGATCTTCTGGGGATGGCCAAAGGGGGAACATCCGACCTTAGTGGCACATGGCAGCGAGCTCCCTGTAGCCGGGTTGTGACCCGCTTGCAAGACCTTAGCCAAACCTGACGTGAACTCCATAATACTAGGGTCGTAGAGGTCCATTCCTGAACGTGCCGTATGGCCTTTCACATCAGTGATGTGCTATTATTATTTTTTCTATCTATTATATCTGTGCAGAGTAGGGAATGAAGTCCTCCGATCACCACACGACTTGAATTTATCTATCTATCTCTATTGTAAATGCTGGGCAAGTCGCCAGTCATAGAGATTTGGGATCCCGATGCATCATTGCATGCTAATAACACAATGAGTGACTATATGAGAGAGATGAAAACCTGCATTCATGCATCATATGAATTATTATTAGGGATGGTTGAATACTTGTGAAATTGACTATGATTGTGATTACATTTATTTCCCTATTATATGCTGAACTTTGTATGATGCTGAGTGAGAATGGTTGAATGGATTTGTGACTGTGATGCCGCCTTCCTTGGGGTTTTGCCATGATTGATGTTTGTGTTTGGAGAACTCACCCCGGTGTTTGTGTTGTTCGTATCGTTTTTCTTTTATTTATATAGATGAACAGGAACAAGGTGAAGGTGTTCATCCTTCCTTCTGAGGATGACATATGGGTATTTGATTTCGTGGCTCAGCAGAGCGTCTTCCGCGGATTTGCTCGAGTGATTCATGGAGTCGATAGTGGAGGTTCATGGATTACCCAGTATACTGCCGACACACCCATTGAGATAGTCTTTTCTGTACCTCCTGGTGACACTCAGTTACCTTACCCCGCCTTGTTTGCTTCTCCCACACCCATGTCTGTAGACCCCCGTACACCTACTGCGAGATCTACTCCTGCACTTGCACCATTCTCTTTTATGTCCCCCACTTCTCCACCCGTGCCAATGGAGAGGGATATCCATGTGGTGGAATCCTCCATTAGGTATACCACCATGCCCTCTTACATGCATCCTGCACACCCATCTACTTTAGTTCCACCTGCTGCTACCCGTTCATCCCCTCACCCTGCTGGATGGATAGAGGATGATAGTGGAGATTCTGTGGCTGCGACTCCTAGTTCTGCTTCCCCGACATCATCTGAGGAGTCTGACCCTATTGAGGATTATTCGCCTCTTGATTGATGTTATTTTATTTATGTTGTAGTGGAACTGCTCTTAGGGATTTGAGTCTATTTCTATTTTACTTATGCTGTACTTGAACCATGTTGACCGTACTGTTGAACTATGAATCTATCGTTTCCGCAAATTATATTTAACATATTTGAAGTATCTTCTGATGATGAGTTGTGATGATTTGATATGAGTACATTATTGATAGTGAGCTATGGACTGATGAAATGAAAAGGGTATATGCATGTTAACTCTCTTCTTGAAAGAGAACTATTGTTGCAAACTGTATATGTGAAAGAAAAAAAAATAATGACCAGATTTTGGTGTTTTCTGAATTATCATGTTATAAAGTAGTTATCAACAATGTAGTGAACTAGGTCGCTACAAATTCGGTCGCTACAGCACCCACTGCATTATCACTTGCATCACACATGAGTTCAAAAGGTAATTTCCAATCTGGTTTTGCAAGGATAGGTGCAGAAATCAGTTTTTCTTTTAAAACAGAAAATGCATGCAAGCAATTATTATCAAATATGAAATCAGCATCCTTTACAAGTAAATTACGCAAAGGTTTAGTAATTTTGGAAAAATCTTTTATGAACCTCCTATAAAAATCAGCATGTCCTAAAAAACTTCTAACTCCTTTAACATTAATAGGTGGAGGCAGTTTACTAATGACTTCTATCTTAGCTTGGTCCACTTCCATTCCTTTTTCTGAAATTTTGTGACCAAGAACAATGCCTTTTTGTACCATGAAATGGCACTTTTCCCAGTTCAAGACCAGATTGGTATCTTGACATCTCTGCAAGACAATAGATAGATTAGCTAGGCAATCATCAAAAGAATTACCAAAAACAGAGAAGTCATGCATGAATACCTCTATAATGTTTTCTACCAAGTCAGAAAAAATAGAAAGCATGCACCTTTGGAAAGTGGCAGGGGCATTACATAATCCAAAAGGCATTCTTCTATATGCAAAGACTCCAAATGGACATGTAAATGCAGTCTTCTCTTAATCCAAAGGATCCACTGCTATTTGGTTGTATCCTGAATAACCATCAAGGAAACAATAGAATGAATGTCCAACAAGTCTCTCCAACATTTGGTCTGCAAATGGTAGTGGGAAATGGTCTTTTCTGGTGGCATCATTTAACTTCCTATAGTCTATGCACATTCTCCATCCAGTCATAGTCCTAGTGGGTATGAGTTCATTCTTCTCATTAGCTACAACAGTCATCCCTCCTTTCTTTGGGACAACTTGGACTAGACTTACCCAATTGCTGTCAGAAATTGGGTAGATTATTCCTGCATCTAGCAACTTCATGACCTCTTTCTTGACTACCTCTTTCATAGTTGGGTTCAATCTTCTTTGAGACTGCACAACAGGCTTAAAATTTTCTTCAAATAAAATTCTGTGCTTACAAAATGAAGGATTTATACCTTTCAGATCTGCAATACTCCAACCAATTGCAGATTTATGTTCTCTCAAAACTTTTAACACTTTTTCCTCTTCCTCTTCCTTCAGCTCACTGTTAATGATGACTGGATTCTCATGCTTCTTATCCAAAAAGGCATACCTCAAGTGGGATGGCAGCTGCTTAAGCTCTAGCTTCTGCTCTTTTTCTTCTTTGATTTCATTTTTCAGTTCCTCTTTAACTGAATTTTCTGTAGCAGTTTGAATTGGCAGGGCTTCTAGTTGCTGCTCAATTTCCATCATTTGTTCTGTTTTACAAATCTCAGAATTTATATTTCCTGCAACTATGGTTTCTTTCAACACAAAATTTTCATCATGTTCATTAATAGGATAGTGTGTAATAATAGAATCCAGAATATCTACTCTCATGCATGAATTATCTTCAGCTGGATACTTTAATGCTTCAAACACATTAAATACTACCTTCTCATCTTGAACTCGAAGCATAAGTTCTCCTTTCTGCACATCTATTAGAGCTCTCCCTGTTGCAAGGAATGGTCTTCCTAGGATCAAAGGTATGTTTGCATCCATATGGATAAGAGTATAATCTATCAGCTAGCTGCAGTGTGATGTTAGTGGGCTTCACTTCCTCTATGACAAGTTTCTTCAGAATAGCCAATGGCATCAAATTGATGCTTGCCCCTAAGTCACATAGTGCTCTTCTAACTGTGCAGTTTCCTATTTCACATGGAATGCTGAATGATCCAGGATCTTTTAGCTTTTGAGGAAGCTTCCTTTTGAGGATTGCACTGCACTCTTCTGTCAAAGGTACAGTTGTATCATGCTCCAACTTCTTTTTTCTGGAAAGTAGCTCTTTCATGAACTTTGCATATGAAGGCATCTGCTCTAATGCCTCTGCAAAAGGAATATTAATCTGCAGTTTCTTAAAAACACTAAGAAACCTTTCAAATTGTTCTTCTCTATTTTGATTTTGAACTCTTTGAGGATAGGGCAGCCTCTTGTATTTTTCTGGGTCTAAAGGCTTGCAAGCATATTCAAAGAGTTGTTTCTTTGTCTTCCTCTCAAAATGTGTAGGAGCTTCTGCCTTCTGTTCTGCATTATCTCTCTTCAATAATCTAAAATTTCCCTGCTGCAAATCTTGCTCAATTTTCCTTTCTGCTGTTTCAGCGTTGTCTTTCTTTTCTGCAACTTTTGGGCTTGAAACTACAGCACCACTTCTAGTGGTAATTGCTTGACATTGTTCCTTAAGATTGACCACTGTATTCTTTGTTCATCTCTGCTAGACAATTGCTCAACTAACTGTCCAATTTGTGTTTCCAGCTTCTTCATAGAAGCTTCTTGGTTCTTGAAGTTTGTTTGGGTCACCTTCATGAATTGTAATAGCGTTTCTTCTATCCCATTCACCTTCTCACTCAAGGGTCTTGTATTTGGATACCCTTGATTTTTCTGAAACTGTGCAGAAGAATTCCCTTGGAAGTATTGTTGTTGTGATTGAGGTGCTGCATTTGGAAAAGGTGTAGAACTTGTATTTCCTCTTGCATTTGAATTCTGTGGATTCCATTTGTAAAATGGTTGCTGCCCTCTATTGTTATTAGACTGAAAACCAGGTGGATATGGTTGTTATGGCCTTCGGTAATTGTTCATATAACTGATTTGGTCAGCTTGTTCCACAGTTGTAGGGTCACAATCTCCATTTGCATGGTTGCCACCACATTAATCACAATTCAGTTGTGGAGTTGGCATACTACCAGTCTGCATGTTGCTAATTTGTTGAGTTAATGCAGCAATCTGTTCAGAAAATTGCTGGTTTTACAACTGATTTTGAACAAATAAAGCTTCTATGGATTTTGCATCATAACTTTCTCTCCTTGTAGCTTGCCTTTCATTCACATGTTGATACATGGAGGATGCCATCATTTCAATAATCTGCTGAGCTTCCTCCAATGTCTTTGAACTCAGTGATCCTCCAGCTGCTGCATCAATCATAGTTTTAGTTGCAGCAGTCATCCCATTGTAGAATGTTTCTAGCTGCATCCACTCAGGTATGCAGCGATGAGGACACTTCCTTAGTAACTCTTTCTACCTCTCCCACGCCTCATATAAGGGTTCTCCATCTTGTTGAACAAATGAAGTAATCTCCCCTATGATTTTTGCAGCTTTTGAAGGGAAAAAATACTTAATCAAAAATTTGTTCACCAAATCAGCCCATGTAGAAATGCTTCCCTGTGGCTGAGCTTGAAGCCAGCACTTAGCTCTATCTCTCAAGGAAAAAGGGAACAATCTCAGTCTGATTGCTTCTTCGGTGACCTCATTTATCTTGATTGTGTCACATAGCTGTAAAAAATTTGAGATATGTAAGTTAGGGTCTTCAGAATTTCCTCCTGAGAACTGATCCTGTTGAACTAAGTGTAATAAGGCAGATTTAATCTAAAAATGATTGGCTTGGATAGTTGGCCTGATTATAGAAGAATTAAAACCTTGCAAATTAGCAATTGCATAATCCCCTAAGGTTCTATTCCTGTTTTGGTCTGCCATTTCTAGTTCTGGTTTTGGTTCTGGTTGCCTCAAAGGTGTAAGTATTCTTTTTACTTTAGGAGTGTTCTTATTCTTTGGAGCAGGGACAACCTCTAATTCACTATCAGAATCTATGAAGTTTTCCAGTCTAGTCTCTCTTCTTATTCTCCTTAAGGTTATGTCTATATCAGGATCAAAGACTAGAGTTGATTTGTTTTTATTTCTACCTCGCATGCAAAATTAACACTATAAAACTAATAGAAAGAAAACAGAAAATTGAACTAACTTGCAATATATATGCTATCTGCTTCTAACAATATTAAGTTGATTAGAAATTAGAACTACACTAATGCAAAATTAACTTGTTACACTAACTGTAAACAAACAATTCTAAATGTGATCTACACTGCAGAATTTCAACAAAACAAAATACTCAATCTAGCTATTTTTCTGCTACTAATGATATTGAAATTCAAAATTCTCCGGCAACGATGCCAAAAACTTCTTGTTTTCAATCTAGCACTAGCAAGTACACTAGGATTGCAGTAAGTAATGAGTAATTTTTAAGAACAGAATATCATCTCCACAGGGAATTTAGATTTCAAGTATCAATTTGCAGAATTACAATCATTTGAGCCATACGAATTTTGAATGAGATTTGTAATCTGTAATATCAATAAACCAGAACAATACGAAGAATTAACTTGCAGTAAAAACAGAATATAAAAGTTGTAATGGATTGAGATAGGAATGAAGAATAGTTAGGACTTTACTTCACAAGAATGTCAATATTAATTCAATTATGCCTTTGAATATTCAAGAACTTGGTTAATTGACAATCAGTTTCGCATATTAATAGCCAAAGGTTAATCCCTTAACTCATTGACCCTAACAAGCAACTAAACCACCCTAATCCCTTAGGTAAAATTCAATTTCATGTTGCATTAAGACTTAGAACATTACGATTGCAGAATTAAGTGTACTTATCCCTAAGAAACCCCTAATTCTGGTTGTTAATTCAGATCAGAGAATCAAATCCAATTCCCATTGGCAAATGTTCCTCTAAGGTTAATCAAATGAATTCCAATTCAAAGATTAGGTAAAGTGCAAAATTAACAACTCAATTAATCCAAATACTCGAATATCAAAAGCAAGAATCCAATCAATACATCAATTCGAGTTCCATAAACTTCTAACTACAAAGAATTACACAGACGTCGAAACAGAGAAAGAGAAAGAAGAAGAAGAGAAGAAGAAACTTAAAATCGCCATGGCAACAAGCTCCACTCCAATGTCTCTTCGTGAAGCTCTGAGATTCGACTCCCCAAGTGGTTGCGCATTATCACTTTTATGAATAAAAGTGAATACGCGCAACTCGCCAAGTTGAAGGCTCTCTGGAACAATCACTTTCGATGATAAGAGTGGTAACGCAGAGCATCCTGATATTTTGCCTCTCTGGAACGCTCATTTTTAATGATAAAAGTGATAACGCAGAGCATGTTAAGTCTAAGGCTTCTCTAGAACTCTCACTTTTCCTGGCAAAGTTGGTAACGCCCAGCTTTGCTTCTTCTTTGAGCTCTGGAGTGATCACTTTCACTGACAATAATGATCACGCCCAGCCTGCATTTCCTTGTTCTTGTGTTTTGGAGTCCATACTTGCTACTTTCCTCTTCCTTTTCATCAAGCCTCTATTTCCATGAACCTTGCTCGAATTATTCCTTCAATAAAAATATGGGTTCATCAGAAACACTCACTGCAGCGAGAATTTGCAGCTGGAGGAGGGTGAATTTGTTCCCTTTTTGCTACAGCGAGAAGTGGTCGCTGTAGTGAGAGTCTTTTGTTTCGCTATAGCGAGAGTTAACGCTGCAGCGAGAATAAAATAGAATGACCTAATTTTTATTTCCATTTCTCGCTACAGCGAGGCCATGTCGCTGTAGCGAGATAAGTTCGACCAGACCAGTATAAAAGGCAACTTTTATGTTCAAGTGGGAGGTTCAGTGTTCAATCTTCATTTCCAGTGGTCCAAACGGCGCAAGGCATAGAAGAAGAGTAAGAATACTCATGTTTTTTATGCTTTATTCCACTTGTATCTCCATTTTTGTTGTTATGGTTGCCATGAGCAGCTAAATCTTCTTATGGGATTGAGTGTAAATCTTTAAATTTGATGTATTCTCAGTAATCTATATAAATATAGTTGTTTCTTCTTCATTTCTAATGATTTGGTGATCTCAATCCATTTTTAATGTTTGAATCTAGTTATTTGACAGTTTCTAGTGTTCAGATCTGAGTTATATATAGAAAGATATTGTTTAGATCTAGATCTGATTGAGATTACTCAATAACTGGTTGTTCTAGGAATAGATTTCAAGTTATTGATTGCTTCTAAATCCTGATTTTAACGCTGGATAGTTTATTAACTGTTTGAGGAATCAACATTTGAGAAATTATCTTAGAAATGTATTTTCAAGGAATTAAAATATATGATTTTCATATTTTGCATCAGATTCATTGGAAATGATTGCTATATTTATCACTGGATTACTAAAATATATAGGGAGAGATAGATGAAATTCAATCCCAGCTTTTTAACCTAAATTTTACCACATTTTACTTTAGTGCATTACATTTTAAGTGTTGTTTAATAGTACATGAAAATCATTCACCAATTCTATTGTATATAAGCTCAATTAATTTGTATCTTATTAATTAATATATTTGACTTGCTCTCTGAGGATGATATTTTTGTACTCTACCGGTTATTACTTGCAACAGACTCGGTACACTTGCCATGTTTGAAAGAATTGATCCAACATTCACCTTCCTGTTGCTCACTTGTGACTTCCGCAATTTCAGCTGGTTCATCCTCTATATGTTGTTCTTGTGGATTTGGAACATTAACTTGTTGTCTCCTTATGTTGTGTGACCATGATACAACAAGAGGAACAACAACTGGAGAAGAGACACCAACTATAGGAGTTTCTGCACGTGTCTCTTTAATTTCCACCTTTCGTGTTTCACCACTCCCACTAAACTGACCATTTTCAATGAACCTTGCATTTTCAAACTCAACTATTCTCATACTATGGTTAGGACAGTAGAATCTGTACCCCTTTGATTTTTCAGGATAGCCGATGAAATAACCACTTATGGTTCTAGCATCAAGCTTCTTTTCATGTGGATTATACACTCTTACTTCTACTGGACAACCCCAGACATGAAGATGTCTTAAACTGGTTTCTTTCTTGTCCACAGTTCATAAGGAGTCTTTGGAACTACCTTACTAGGAACTCTATTAAGCAGATACGCAGCGATCTTTAATGCGTACATCCACAAAGACATAGATACAGAATTGTAACTCAACATACTCCTAACCATTTCCATGATAGTACGATTCTGCCTTTCAGGCACACCATTTTGTTGTGGTGTACCAGGCATAGTATATTGTGCACATATGCCTTGACTTTCCAGAAGTTTCGCAAATGGACCTGGACATTGTCCACTTTCATCAGATTTTCCATAATATTCACCACCTCTATCTGACCTCACAACCTTTACCTTTCTATCTAGTTGCCTTTCTACCTCATCAATGAACACCTGTAAGACATCCACTGATTGAGATTTTTCATGCAACATATACAGATAACAATAATGTGAGTAATCATCAATGAAGGTAATGAAATATCTTTCACCACCCCAAGATGGGATGTCAAACGGATAACAAATATCAGTGTGTATCAACTTTAAGAGTTGACTGCTTCTTGTGGCTGGATTCTTTGATGTGTGTTTAGTTTGTTTCCCTTTAATACAATCCACACATACATCCCAGTCAACAAAATCCAATTGAGGTAAAATTTCACTTTTCATTAACCTCGTCATCCTTTCTTTGGATATGTGACCTAACCTTTGATGCCACAAGAAAGCAGAGCATTCATTACGAACATTCAAATTACTACTAATAGCATTATCAACATGAAACAGAGATTCAACAAATTTAACACTAAGATTAAAATGATATAAACCATCAATTAATGTACCAGATCCAAAATAGTACGAGTGTTTATACAAAGAAAATGTACCGTTTCCAATCTTAAAATTAAAACCAAATTCGTCCAACTTTGCAACAGAAACTAAATTTCTAGCACATTCAGGAACATAAAGACACTTTTCTAGATCTATGCAGCAACCAATATGCAAGATCAATCTGTAAGTCCCTATTCCTTCTATTCGTGCCTTCATTTTGTTTCCCATGTACAAGAACTTTTCAGTTCCACTTATGGGCTGGATCGAAAGAAATCCCTGTATTACATGTGACACATGAGTAGTTGCACCAGAATCTAACCACCAGGTATTTTTAGGTACCTCAATAAGATTTGATTCAAAGCATACTGAAACATAATATATATCTTTCCTTTCGGACCAAACCTTTCTCTTCAGACAATCTTTCTTGAAGTGACCAGTCTTCTTGCCGAAGAAGCACCTCTGGCCCTTCTGGATTCGGCCTTCACGAACCTTTAATAAGGCCTTATCCTTCTTGTCCTTGTTGTCCTTTTTATCTATCTTAGCCTTGCTACTACTAGCCCCTTCATGAAATGTGAGATGGACGGAGTGTTCTTTCACCTTCTTCAGCCTCCCTTCCT